TTTTATCTGAAGCCACAGAAACAGGTATTAAAAAATTCTTAACGTCAGTGTCAAATTTCAAAAACACGGAATGATATGATTTTGCCTATAATTTCTAAGATTTTAGGCACCTGGAAAAATACCCTTGAATGAAGTTACGTTATTAAAGAGTTGTTTACATTCTATATCTTTCACGATACTCTCTTCCCCCTGTACCTGTAACTTAAGATCTAAGTCCATGCAGGCTTTTATAAAGTTATCATTAGATAATGGTAATAATATAATAATAAAGGGACTACGAAACTAATACAGAAAGCAAAATATTAAATATAACTCAGATAATAAGGTAAATCTTTCATTTACTGACTAGATGACGTGTTCAAGAGTTGCAAAATAGTATAAGCAGTCTTGAACTGCTGGATGGGATTTGAAACTGGTTCATCACTGTCCTCGTAATAAACGGACGTTTTTCCTAACCTTCACGATAGGAAATTCAGGATCAATACCTAATACCTAAGTATTGTTGCTGAATCGACAAATAATTTAAAATTATCGTCACATCTTTTGAATTCCAAATATCTGTAAAGATTATGTAAGCCTTGAATGCATTCCTCTATATTAAATTTAGAATTTTGAAGCATTTTACATAAGACATCAGTTCTTGATAATAAATCATGCCAAATTACAAGTGAACACAAAAATTTTCATGTTTTTAGACTTCTCTTGTGTCATATCAAGAAAACCAAAAATTTCACCGCTTGACCTGGCAGCGTCACTAACGACCAGATTTAATGAATGAGCCGCAACGGGAACGTATAATGCTCTGGGATTGATATTAAGAATCTGTTTTTAAAGTTCTATGTTTCCGTAAGTAGAAATCGTATGATTTCTCTTTTTGTTATTAGATGGCGTAGTTACGTCCGTATATAATTATTTTGATAACTATTGTCTACGACGGGAATAGATTTTGTTTCGATTCAGAGTAGTGGCTATACGCTGTGAGGAGACCTAAAAAGGCCGAAATACGTACAAGCGGCTTGCCGCTGCTCTGTATCGACACAAAAATCTAGTACCGTCATTATGTTTTATTTCTTTACTCCGTTTGGAATACCAGAAATTGAATTCATTACGAATTTTGACCATGATAAATGGCATGTAGAATGCACTTTTAGATTCCCTTGGCGAGTAATTTATCAAGCTGTTTGCTTTGCAAGTTTTAGAAAGCACAGTGGTAAAAATTTGAATTCGATTTCGCCAGGTAGAAATCGTTTGATTTCTCTTTTTGTTATTAGATGGCCCAGTTACGTTCGTATATATATATATATATATAATATATATATATATATATATATATATATATAATATATAATATATATATATATTACAATAACTATTGTCTACGACGGGAATAGATTTTGTTTCGATTCAGGGTAGTGGCTATACCGCTCTGAGGAGATCTAAAGAGGTCGAAATATGTATAAGCGGCTTGCCGCTACTCTGTATCTATGTTCTATGTTTCCCTTTCATGTTCGATCCATTGTCGTAGCCATGCATCTTTAACTTCGAACTGCACACTGGGTAATAGCTTGTCTAATATAAAATTGCGCAGTGGTATTAGTTATTGGAAAAAATCTTAGAAAAAACTCTAAAAGATCTAACTACCATCAGTAGTTTGCACACACCTAATTACAACGTTATTTGTTCTGGATGACTAATATCGAGTATTACGCCGGCTCCACACATGGGGGCCAACGTTGGCCCAACAGCGTTCGTCCACTGTGTGTACTGACAAAACTGTGTTGGAGCCAATGTTTGTACCAAAGTTTTTATGACTTGCTCCAACGTTGGGAGTTTTCCGTGGACTGTCGGTTTTTGCGTACACATCAAAGGGATTTGCGCCAATACTGATGTTGCCGTTGATACCGACCACACATTGGCACTACAGCAGTATTCCAGATACTAGGTACCTAATTTAACACAATCTAGCAAAGAAAAAGAAAATAAATCAATTGCAACCACAGTTTATAAAAAGAGTCCTCGTCTTCTTTTTTCTTTTAAAAAGTTTGTGCTGCCATTTTACACAGCAATCTTATTAGAAAATAAAAATTACTTTATCGAAGAAAATTTGCATTCCATGACAGCATTAAAAAACAAATTTACAAAATGTAAAAAATCGATCTTCGACCCTGAGCGACCTCCGTTGACAGCTGTTGTTTAGGATTAACACTCCGATACACGTCGGTGGTCTATCAGAGCGGGGTTTATACTTAAAAGGCTATTTGTTACATATATAAACAATATACATATCTGTTTTTTTTTAGTGCCTTTCCTGCTTTCAAAAAAATGTACTTATCTAAATATTTTACAAAATGATATGTTTTTAATTTTGAAATATCGATTATTTTGATTGGCTTTTTCGACAATGCGCATTATCTCATGACGAACTGATTCAGCTAAAATATTGAATACCTTATTTTAAATTTTCTGTTCCAACTAGTATGGAATACGGGTTTTGTTATCTTTACATTTACTTATATTATTAAGGTGTTCTGCAATAACTGGATTAAATTTGACCAACATCTCCACTGTTTTTAAAACAATACCATTGTCTTTATGATAACTTCGCACTAGTCCTTTCGATTGACAAATTCTGACTCGCTAAAAATTGTATTACAGCAATCAGTCTTTCAATGATCTCTGTTTCTCTCGATTGTAAACATTTTGTTGTATGAAGACGAAAAAATTATAGAATTAGAGGAAGAGCTATCCAAAATAAAATGGGATATAATGGACCTGGCAGAAATAAGAAGAAAAGAGGAACAAAGAAGAAAAATCGAAAGAAAATAAACAAATGTACAAGAAGAAAATTAAAAATATAACACCCGATAAGAATGACCTCGTAACCAAAGGAATTGACGACAATGATATTTTAAAAGAAATATTACTGAAAGCTGAGAGAGAAGTGACACCAATGAGAAAGAAAAAGCAACAATGATTCTCATAAGAAACCAGAACATTCTACTAATGGAAGAACAAAGAACATTTTTTAACGAAACAAGCGACTGACAGTAAAATATTCGGAGATAAACAGAGCTATAAATAAAACGGTAAAAGAGGGAAAAAAAGAAACAAGAAGAACAAGTAGAAAGAATAATTCAACAAAACAAAAATATGAAGTACTTACGGCCAAAACTGGGAAAAATACAAATAATTTCCATTAAAATGATCTATGGGGGAGAAGAAAATACCATAAATGAAATAATAGCAATAACACAATATTTCTTAGACCTTTATCAAGAAAAACAACCACCAACACAAGAGATTCTTTAAACATTCAAAATTGCAATAAAAAAATATAAACTCTGGGAAAGATGATAGAGGGTATAGATGGTGATCAGAAAGTTGGATTGAATAGGAATTACGATAAAACAAAAGTAATGATAAATCAAGAATAAGAGCTAAAAATCCTAGAAACCACAAAATCCTGAAAGAGATAATAAATTATAGAAAGACAACCAAACTTTAGAAACAAAGAGACGAACGAGATTGACATGGGCTTCGTTTGAAATACATACATATGTGCATTCTTCCCATTCTTACATACGGATGTTTAATTTCAAAGTGACAGATCCTTACATACGGAGGTAAAAAAAAAGGAAAGACAAATAATCAACATACGACTGTCAGATAGAAGATGAAATACCTTGATAAGAAATGTCACAAGATTTAAAGAAAACACCAGCCAAATACCAAAACTAAAGTGGAAATTTCTCGGTCATACTACTAGATAAAAAGATGGAAGATGGACTAAGATCATTACAGATTGGAGATATAAACATTTTAGATACATATAAACGAAAAGGAGAGAGATCACAGATGAGGTGAGTGGATCACTTGAAACAGCACCACGCTGATTAGAGATAGATGTAACTGGGTATTAAAAAAAGAGTGGAATAAACACATTGTCAGAATGGAGAAAGAAAGAGAGTGATCATCTATTGAGATAAATCGCCAGTAAAAAAACCGTATGATTTATTTAATGATGATATAAGTAATGAGACATAAGTATGAAGGTTAGTAATATGGAGAGCCTAAAATCAAGAAGAAAAAGTATATAATGAATTTGAAATTGAATTGAAATTATTTAACAAAATTATTTATTTGATCTATAATGGCTATTATCTTGTGAGAATTCTTATTTCGACAAGCATCATGCTTTCTTGATGCAATATTCTATCTATTCTTTTAAAATTATTTTCCTTTTAAGACAAATATTTTTGATTTCTGTACACCAAAATTACAAAAATTATGGGAGAATGACAAAATAAGTCATTATATTTATAAAGCACAAAGTGATTGTTAATATTTAAATACTAACCATACTAAAAATAATCACGTGATTTGTAGCTGAGAATATATAAATGGCGTTCATTGGTAGTCAGAGTACAGTAGAGACAGGTAAGTCAATACTGCAATAATACGCTTATTATCATATATATATATATATATATATATATAATATATATATATATATATATATATATATATATATTTGTAATTTTTGAAAAGCCACTTTGATTTTTTCAAATTTATTTAATAATTCTTAAAGATTTAATCGGATATGTGTAATATTTATTACTTTTTCAATATTTTTATTATTTTTTCTCAATATGTGCTTACGCGGCCGGGTATTTTATAAAGGGACAGGGTTATCGGGGTTGACAGGACGTGTAAGTAAGAAACAATTCCGAAACAAGCTCTATAAACCTCAATGACGAGGTACCTTTATATTGTTTTTTCTTTTTTCCATGTATATTGTCTTTTTTAGTGATTTAAACTTAAATGTTCCAAAATGATTTCATTTCTTTATACATCTGTGTTGGGAGGTTGTATTTTTGCAAATTGCAAGTACGTTTTAGTAATATTCGACAAGTAAACCATAACACATAGTCAAACACGTACGTTGCTAAATATTGGGGAGGTATCGTCGGTTTACTAAGCTTCCCCACACTATTCAATCACCCTGTATCTCGACTAGATGATCTAGGGTTATGAGCCGCTTTTAAAAAACTATTCACTTTATGTTTTACCTTTATACTTTACAGATCGAAAATGAAGGCGACGCAGATTATTGCATTATTTCTACCTGTTGTATTAAGTTATCAAAATGATGATAAAATATGTTCAGATGAGTTTATAGACCTTATAAATAATCAACATAGCACATGGGTTGCCCATGATAATTTTGATAAAAATACTTCCATCGAAGACATACAGAAATTACTAGGTGCAAAAATAAGGGAACCAAATTTAAGATATGCTAAGGCATTTAAACACAGTGAAAACATTCAAGTTCCCAATTCTTTCGACGCGAGAGATCACTGGAAAGAGTGTTCGGATGTTATCAGCACAATTGTAGATCAATCAGGTTGTGGATCTTGCTGGGTAAGTCAAATATTTAAATAAGAGAATAAATAGGGAACATATAAATCATGGAACATGATACTAATTTCGATGATCATATATATACATATATATATATATATATATATATATATATATATATATATATATATATATATATATATATTCTTGAACCTTAATATATATTTTTTAGTGGATTTTCTTGGATATAGGTTCATAAAAAAATTAATTTGATACTAAGACATTTTTATATATTTTTTTCGACGTTTCGGCAGGAAATCCATGCCTTTTTCAAGAAGTAATATTGACAAGCATGTAAAAATTCGGTACTAACAAGTAGACGTCACAATTAAAATAATATTAAAAACATAGGACATACCCACTAAGTCACTACATGTAAAAAAATTTACATCAATATCGTTGTGCCAACTTCTCCGTGGTCGTTCTCACTTTCTTCTTTCAGGAGGGATCCATTGCAGTACTCTTCTTGGCCACCTGTACTCTGGCATTCTTTTAACATGTCCGAACCAGATTAATTGTTTTCTTTCTATGTCATCATTGATGTTTCGTTCCATTTTCATTTCGTTTCTAACTCTCTCCAGTTTTAATCTACCGCAGCTTCGTCTCAGGTAATCCATTTCTGTCGTCATAAGTTTGTTTCTATTAGCTTTGGGTGACGTCTCACACTTCCGAATCGTAAAGTGTAATACTTCGGGTTATACTACCATAAATGTATTTTTGGTTTCTCGTCGAATTGTTTTTGTCAGATAAGAGAGTTTAAGGCATGAGTCGCTGCTCTGCCCTTGTTTATTCTTTCCCTGATTTCATCTGCGCTATTTCCCTTCTTGTTAAAAATGACCCCCAAATATTTGCAGGATTGCACGCCTTTGATTTTGTCGTCTTCCAAGACTAGGTCACATATTTTATCTATTCCCACAGAGAGATATTCACATTTTGTCATATTCATGCTTAGACCTGCCACCCCATATTCTTCTTGCAGTTTTCTTACCATTTAGTTAAGATCGTAGCTGTCTTCGGCAGTTACTACCTGGTCATTCGCAAAGAAAAGTGTATATAACGTGTTTTTTTCCACCGTTATTCATATTCATATTCACCGTTATACAGTTATGTTTATAGATATTGTTTTAATTCATTCATTAATCTAAGGCGCTTCATTTATGATTGTCCGTTCTTAGTTAGTATTATTTACAAGATAAGGTTTCTAAGTGGCGTGATGGTACCATTAAAGATAAAAGGGACATTAAGAACTGTAGGAGCTATAGAGGAATAAAGTTAATGTTGTACACAATGAAAATATAAGACAGAGCTGTAGAGATTAGGTTATAGAGAGAGAGAGTGACATCGATAGAAGAACAGTTTGAGTTTATACCAGAAAGGAGGACAAGTGATGCCTGATTTGCTTTGAGACAATTGGTAGATAAATACGAGCAGAAGAAAAGATAAGTACATTTGGTATTTATAGATTTTGAGAAGGCGTACGACACAGTACATAGACAAGGACTATTGAGAGGTATGGGAAAGAAATTGGTTCCTGAGCCTCGTGAAGGATATGTATGAGGAAGCGTACACCAAAGTAAAGACCATTGTGTCGGATAAACCGAAAGTTTTCCAGTGACGGTTGGTTTGCATCAAGGCTGTTCAATGAATCCCTACCTGTTGTTATGGTGTACTGATAGAGAATATAAGGGATGGGCTCCTTGGTCAACTCTCTTTGCGGATGATATCGTGTAAGCGAACGAGAGCAAAGAAATGTTGGATAAGGGCTGTTAAAGAGAGACGACTTAAGATTAGTAGGTCGCAACCGGAGTATATGTGGTTTGAAGAAATAGTTATGGTTAGGAACATCAACATCAGTAAAAACTACGACGAATAGGAGAATTAAAAAATATTGGCTCTTACAGAATACAGACGGGTTAGTCTAACAGGAAATGAATCAGCGGGGTACTCTGTGATCGAAAAATTGGGAAACGTCTGAAAGGAAAGGTATAAAAGAGTGTGGTGAGGCAAGCATTTGTGTACAGAGGTGAAGTGTGGCCTGTAAAGAAGGTTCAGGAAAAGAAGATGGCAATAGCTTAAATGTGTGCTATGGTGGATCTTGGGTAAGACTAGAAAAGACAAGATTAGGAACTAAGTGATAAGAGAAAGAGCTGGGGTGACTACAGTCTAAACAAAGTTTCAAGGACAAAGGCTTTAACGGTTTAGTCCGTCGTAGAAATAAGAACTAGGTGGGAACTAGTGAGAATAGAGGAGTTGGAAGAGAAAGTTTTAGGTCAGGAAGAGACGATGGACAGAAAGGAGGGCAAAGAGGAGTAAGGAACAGGGACCCCTGAAAAGGTAAAAGCTGAGGAAGTAGAAGAAGGTTTATAATGCGCATTTTATTTGGACATTATTGCCGGGTTTATGATTTAGGTTTAAATGATCGGTCCAATTTCTATATGTAACTAACCTGGTTTGGTAATTTTTTAAGCCAGGCTTTTTTACGGGCGTTATATTAATTTCTCTATATTAAATCTCTATATTAAAATGCTGCGATGATCGTTGATCTATAACAAGAATCATTAAAATAAATAAAGAAAACTTTGTAAATCGATGATTGTAAAAAAATCGTAATATAAAAAAATTATAATTAAATATTAAAATTACTTTATTTTAAAAATATTATTTAAATTCTAAATTCTAGATTTTGCATAATCCGATTTTTTATGATTCCTGTTACGTAAATTAATACATTTTATTTTATATCCTTATCTTCAGTATTTTGTTAGTCTAAAAATGACAATCAAATAAATATAAACAACTTTTTATGTCGCTCATGTAATGTTTTGAGAATTATAGTTTATAAGTAATAGAATTCTAGATTTACTTATACGTGAAAGTTAAAAGGGTTTTTGGTTAAAGGCTGTGGCTGCAGCTTCCGCAATGAGTGACAGACGATGTATAGCATCGAATGGAAAACTGAAAATTCCAGTTTCTGCTGAGGATCTAACGTCTTGTTGTTCTTCCTGTGGAGAAGGGTGCGGTGGAGGAGATCCAGAAAAGGCATGGGAATATTGGCAAGAGACAGGAATTTCTACAGGAGGTCTTTATGGCAGCAACCAGGTAAAATCTTCCAGTTTTAATTTGACAATTTAATTAAAAATTACTTATAAAAATATGATGTATGCTTTAATTTAGACACAATTTAGATTTTTTTTCAAATATTATTCTTTGCCTAACTAATATATAAACAGAAAATAAGATTATATTTCTAAGCATTTCTGTTTTTTTATTACACTGACCGGCAAAAAAAATGGCCACCCTATAATTTTCTGAAAATAAAAATTCATTGGAAGTTTTACGCACTGGTTCATATTGTATTCTCAACATTTTTCATTTTTAAAATAAAAAATGGCTATTACTGCTTGATTCCTTGGCATAATTTATTTAATTAGAAGGGTACAAAAGAAAATAGTGTAATATCGAAACGAATTACAAACAATAAAAATTACGAGTGAACTTAACAAAAATATCGGGTATTATGCCCTAAAACATCAATAACCGTTTGCATATGATTTGGAAGGAAAAGGAACACATTTTGAATAAGAACTTGAGGAATACGTGCATATCCTTCTCGAAGCATGTTTTAAAGTTCTGCAAGATTTTCTAGTTGGCCTGGTTGACTTTTAACCCTACGATGAAGTTCATCCCAAAGATGTTCAATGATATTCATATCAGGGCTGCAGGCTGGCCATTCTGGAGTATTAATTCCTATTTCTTCCAACCAATTTGACAAAATATCCTCTTTATAACGGTGAGCATTCAGGGAGACATAAGAAAATAAGTTCAGTTCTAGCTTCAAATGAGATTCCAGCCCAAACCATGACACTATCACCGCTAAACTTTCTTCTCTGGGACATAAAAGCTTGGGCATATCTTTCATTTCTCCGTCTCCTAACCTTATCTCGGCCGTCGCCAGACTTTAAACAGAACCACGATTCATCAAGCGAGAAAAAATTAATCGATTCCTACAGTGTCTGGGTTGTATTTCGGGAGCAATAGCCGACTTTTTTGCCTTTTATTAATTAGTCTTCTTTAATTGAGGCGTCTTCTAACCGTTCCCCTCACTTTCTCTCTTTCTCTCTCTCTATTTCTCACTTACTTACTCTCACTACTTTCGAACCTCCTGCAGATGGTTTCTTGCAGCAAGTGCAGTGAAATGGCGATTTCTTAATAGTTCCATCACAATAAAATGATCATCTCTTTGCGAGGTAACTATTCTACGACAAGAACTAGGTCGGTGTGGGTATGTACCAGTCTTTACAAAGCGATGGAAATACACACAACGTAAAAGTCTAAGGATATTTTAATAATTTGCCAATACCAATGACAGAAATTTCATGACCATATAAATTTGCTTGTACTATAATTGTTGATATAGACACTCACTTCTTAGCAAAAAAATTGTAAAAAGTGTTTTAGAATGGTTTTTTATAAGGGACAAAAAAATCGACATTTTTATGTTTTGTTTATTTTTAATTTTAGTCACTTTATACCATTCTTGCTTAATAGGTGAGTTGAAGATATTATCTTTTTATCATGCAAAGATAACATTTAACGTTGGATGAGATGAATAGAGCCGTGGGCCTCCTTCAATCTGGTATACCACAAACTCAAGTTTCTCACCAGCTGGGTGTCTCCTAAAGCGTCGTAAATCATTTGTGGCGTCGGTTTAGAGACACTGCAAGTCCAGCCGAGCAATATCCAGGACGTGGTCGCTCTACAACTGTCGCTAAAATACCGATATTTAATTTTAAATGCAAAAAGGCAGCCAACAATCACAGTACCCGAGATGGTTAATGAATTACAGCTTGCACATAATGTAACAATTAGCAGCAGTATTATGAGGAATCGTCTCCATGAAGCCAATCTTCGTAATCGGGGACCACTGAGATGTCCACCTCTATCTAGAGGCAATCGCGCTGCAAGATTAACCTGGTGTCAAGAGTTTTAGAATTGGACTGACAATGACTGGGCCACAGTTTTGTTTAGTGAAGAGTCTAGATATGGATTTCATCCAGATTCTCGTCGGACAAGAGTTTGGAGACGAAGAACGATTACGACATCTTCAAGAAGTGTATGCATACAGAGGTGGTACATTAATAATATGGGGCGGAATTATGATTGACGGAAGAACTGACCGCATTTTCCCACGTGACTTTCTCACAAGTCAGCAATATTTGAACACTATTCTTGAACCTGTTGTGCGCTCGTTTGCTGCTGCTGTTGGAGAAAATGTTTACTTTATGTATGATAACGCTCGACCACATATTGCGCATATTGTAACAAACTGGTTGGATAACGAGGGTATTGATGTATTGCCGTGGCCAGCATAATCACCGGACTTGAATCTCATTGAGCATGTATGGGAAATACTCCAAGGAAGAATTTTTCCACATATGGGCAATATCTACAATGAGTTTCAATTAAAAGAGCTTCTGAGAGAACAATGGACACAAGTACCTCAGCAGACATTAACACTGTGATTCAGAGCATGAACAGTAGACGTGGAGCTGTGAAAAACCAACGTGGTGGCCATACTTTATTTTACGTTTATATTTCGTATTCTTGACATTTTATGGTGGTATGTGAAACATGGGTGATTTGGAATATTTTTTTGCTTCAATTTTCTATTTTTTACAATTTATGGTTTTTCACATATTAAACAACAAATTTTGTATTACTTTTTTTAAGTTGATTACAGGCAAACAAAATACGTCTATTTATAAAAATATCCCTAGACTTTTGCGTTGTGTGTAGTTGGATAGAAATAGTTTATAAAGCCGTACTGTAGTTTTCGGAATACCTTGAGTTAAGTAAACTTGAGTTCTTCCGTCTTGTAGCAATTCAATAATTCGAGCAACATCTACTGTAGATAACAGCATATCTTAATTATTCACTTGTAAAAATCCACGTTCGAAAAGCTAAATAACTGTTTAATTAAATGTTTTCAACTTAGAAAATGATCATCGACTACAGAAAACAACAACATAAACGTCACTGTCAAAAACAGCATAAGGATCGCAATAAATATTTAAATTGAGACGCAATATGAAACAGTGCATGAAACTTCCAATGAATTTTTATTTTCGGAAATTTATAGGGTGGCCACTTTTTTTTTTATTTCAGTGTATTAAATTTTCTTAGAACAATTTAAGAGTATATTGATACAGCAGTTTAAATTTGTATTGGCTCTCCCACGAATAGGAAAACCTAGATTCTCGTTAATTATTAAAAAACTTGTAAACACACCCATTATATACCAACGATATAAGTCTATCTTTTTAGCTTTTATATATCTCTTTCTCATTCTCTTATTTCTAAATGTATTTCTTTCCCTGCCATCTCTATTTTTCTCATTTCCAATCCCATCATTACACCACTTTCTTTTTTTTTCTTTCTTTCTCCCCCCCCCCTCCTCTCTCACTCTCTCTCGAAAATAGAAAGCATTTTAAGTTTTATGAGTCGCTGAATGTAATCTATTCCAATGTTGTAATTTGAAATACCGTCGGGCAAAAAGTATTAAAATATAAATGTTTTAATACTATACACTAAACAATGTATTGTTCTAGGGTTGTAGACCGTATTCGTTATTTCCATGTAGTACGTCATGTAATATCAAGTACGACACACCAGCTTGCAAACACAAATGTGACAATCCCGAACTCAATTATACTTCAGAATTAACTTTTGGTGAAGGTTCGGTAAATTACTTCAATTCAGTAGAGGACATTAAAAAGGAAATATTGACGAATGGCCCAGTGGAAGCAAGTTTCGCGGTGTATAGAGACTTCTTTTGTTACAAAACAGGTAAGTATTAATTAACATTTATATCCCCATTAACATGTCTTACGAAGAGCTAATGCCCAAAGAGAGTTTCTAAACATCGTTAAACAGCGAAAGGTCTTATACCTAGGACATATTTTAATGGGCGACAAATATAATCTTTTAAAATTAAAGGTCGGAGGGGACCATGTCGCAAACGAGACATAAGAAACTGATGCAACATACGTGATATCAGTACAGTAATAAGAAGAACAGAAGAAAGATCCTTACGCTTAATCCAACACATGAACGCCTACACGTACATAGCGTACGGGACCAGGAGAAGAAGATTACTTGAAACAAGGTAACTTATAATAATAATAAGAACAAAACATGGTCTAATAAGCGAACTTAGTCTCATCCAGCATCAAGCAGGCGCTGCTTGAAAGCATTCAACCCATGCTTTTTTTAACATAGTAATGGACTACATAATTAAAAGCGTAAACGAAATTAGTGCAGGATTTAAGATGAACAACTGGAACATGACGCTCTAATGATAGCTGAAAATAACGACTTACAACGCCTCCTCTACAGCTTGAATCTAGCAGCACAAAGACTCAATTTTCAAATTTAGTGTGAAAAAATATCCAAAGATCCGATAAGATAAAAGTTTAATTGCAATTATTTATTAGTAGAGACATCGAGCTGCAGAATTATAACGAATTAGCGAATATAATTTACTATTTTCATCGGGCATTTTATAAGACATGCGTGAGGTCCATGGTTACGCTACTGAAACAAGAGCCGCAACATCAGAAACAAAAAAGAAAATGAGAACAGCAGAGATCAAAATTTTACTACAAGACAATTGGAAATTCAGGACATTGTCAGATGGGTAAGAGCTAAGAGCCGCTGTTGCATAAAGCAAGTACAATGAATGGTTGCAGATAGAATTGCCAAATGAGCCAGAACACAAACCAGTATCAAGACGTCGAGTTTGTAGGCCCCCAAAACTTTGGTATTACTGCTGGACATCCACGTCACAAGAAGACAGATGACAAAAATAGATTACAAGAAGAAAAAAAGGAATATGTTTTTCCATCACTCTTTCACTGGATAAAAGATGAATATTTCAGGAATAAAGATGAATATTTTCCCTATTTCTTTTTTATATGTTTGCTAATCTCTGGAGTAGATTAGAACACTATATTTTACACATTGTTCACTTATTATTTTATATATAATATTTCCGTACTTTGCAAACAACACCCTCAGACATTTTTCTCTATTTATGCCTTTAATTTAGTGGAACCATATTTAATAATCTCAGGTAGAATGTTTACTGGACCGGAAGATTATTAAGCTTAAAAATTCTGAGCGCTTCTACCATGCACTTCATATTTAGTTTAGTATGTAGGTTTTTTTTATGTTTTTATTATAGTAGTTGTAAGTAAACTACTCGTTGTTTTTCTGTTATCTTGCTTAACACTACGTTATTCGTAGTTAATGATTCCAAAGATTTTAATGTTCTCCCAGTTTTTGAGCTTTCGATCCTCCTATCATTTGGTCTGTATATCCGCATTTCTTTTCCCTTAATTTATTTTTCCTTCTCGTCATCTCCATCATTACCTGTTTATTTAGGTTTTAAGTCTTAAGTTCTTTTTAATAACCAAGCTGCATTAATTTAATATAACCGCCAGAAAATTTAAGTTAATTTCCACAAAAAAGACAAAATGCATGGTTATAACAGCAAATTTACTAAGATGTAAATTGGAGCTGGAAGGAAGGATAATAGAACAAGTGATGGAGTATATCTAGGCATCACATTATCTAGCTACGAAAAGCTCACAACTGGAGTGGAAGATCAAGTGAATAGAGCAAACAAAGCTGCAGGTTGCTTGACCGAAAAATGGTTGGCTGATGAAAATCATCAAGGACTGGGTAAGAAATAGAAGAGTAAAATGCAGCGATCATATAAGCCAAATAACATCAATTAGAGTGGTAAAGACGGCAAGAGACGGTTCCCCAATAGGGCAACTTACTATAGGCACATTAAAAAATAGACAGATTTATGTCTACATAAAAAGAAGAAGCAGAAGTTTTTTTTATGGGAATGAGCTGGTAAATCTTCTAAAGACCATACTAGGACATGTCACATTAAAGATGACCTGGCATGCATTGGATTCAAGGTGGAAGGCCCATCCGCACGCAGTCCCCTTTAGAGGAGTTGTACTCAGAGATACACTCATAGCTCCCTGCTTACCAACTAAGGTCCATCCTTATACGGTCTACTCATGAAGTAGGACCTTTCCAAACTGATGCATCACATGAATAGCTAGGCCCTCTCTCTTTATCTCCCTCCCTCTCATTATATCTCCCTCCCTCTCTTTATATCTCCCATCTCTCTCTCTTTCTCTCTCATCGTTATCTCTCTCACTCCTTCTCTTTCTCTCCTTTATCCTTACTGCAGATCAATCTCTAATTTTTTCTTCTTTCTGACAGCTCGAGTGACCTCCTTCAGTATTGCATTGTATCCAGTTTTTCCCTTATATTTTCCCTTGTTTGCACTTACTATACTGTGTAATTTGTTTTTGTCTCTGTTGAACATTTCGCACCCCAATACACAGTACTAGACCGGGTCGGCCAGTCCACAGTCTGTGCAGTTTCCATCCGCAACTTTGCCTATTCTTTCCAGGCAGGCCCTGAAGAAGCCGTGTCCAGTTAGAAACATGAAAAAGTAATTAGTGTTTCTGTCATCGTACTTCATCCCTCGTGCAGGCCGCTTCGTTTTATTTCGGATTCGTTTAAAGTGTTTGTATGCATGTAATGTCGAAAAGTACAAGAGAAACCACTAGAATACAAAAAATTCGGCATATTTATGTTTCATGGACCTTAAGAAGGCATCTGACAGGGGGTAAAATTAAAGAACTTTATACACAATATATTGTACACAAGATAGATACCTCTAACAAAAATCAAAACGATAAAAAATATCTAGTAGAACAACGTAATAAAAGTAAAAGTAAAAAAACTAACTAAACCAATTAAAGCTTGCAATGGGATGCACCAGGAGGATTCCCTATGCCCTCTATTCAACCTCTTCATGCATGAAATAATAAAACAAGTAAGAACGAAAAAAGCAAATGGGAGAAAAACAGCTTAAAATAATCTGCTATACAGACGAAGAATACTAATTTCTTAAAGTGAAGATGATTTAAAACACATGATGTACCAATTTAATATAACCGTCAAAAAACTTAACATGTTAATTTCCCCAAAAAAGACAAAATGCATGGTTATAACAGCAAATATAGTAAGATGTAAATTGGAGCTGGACGGTCAGATAATATAAGACATAATACGACTCGACACAGAGAGATCAAAAAGAATGCTAGAAACAGTAGAGCTGAAAACCCTTAGAAAAATCGATGGTAAGACACATAGAACAGAGCTAGAAGTACAGATATACAACGGATATGCAAAGTGGGGAATATCGAGGCCTGGGTAAGAAATAGAAGATTAGAATGGAACGATCATATAAGTCGAATGACAACAAATAAGGTAATAAAGATGGCAATAGGCAATTCTCCACTAGGAAGACGATCAGTGGGAAGAATACGAAAACGATAACTTACTAGAGGCACATTAAAAAACAGATAGTCATGTCTACACAAAAAGAAGTCCAGACTGCCCTATGCTAATTTGGTAATTCTTCCTGTCAGTCCGTTATGCCAGTGGCGGATCCAGAGGGGGGGCACGGGGGCACGTGCCCCCCCCCCCAGACGAAATAAAAATACACTAGATAAAATAGGTTCAAAAATTCTTTTATGAAACATATTGTACCTGATTTAAATAATTTATTTCGGGAACATAAATGAATTAATTGGTTATATTACAATATAATATTATTACATAAAATAAAATAATATATTCTGTTCTACAGTCAAAATATCTGCTCATAGAATTGATTATAACCCAAGGATGGTAATAAAGATTAGAAATTTGACATCGGACTTCCGGTTTTAGTGTTATAAAAAGAAGTACCATTTAAAAGCCACCGAAATAGTATAAGCGATATATTATTCGACGTGCCGGAGCAAGATGAGAACAAATGTATACTTTTGGTTAAAAAGTTCTAATCGGAAGTGCTATATTATAGTCGCAGAAATAATACATGTGACATATCATTCGAGGCGTATTGAGAAGTCGAGCTTGAATCTTTAGTTCCGGTTTTTAAGTTATTTGCATTTAAACAATTATGAGCGAAAGTTTAGTAAAAATTACTCAAAATTAGTGAAATCATATATCAATCGACGCAAAGTTACACGAAGAGTTCAAATATAGACTTGCGGTTCTACTTTCGATCACTTTGGGTGAAAACCTAAGACTTACGAAGTCCTACGCAATTTTTTTCTCATTTAACTTCTCATTTTCTTTTGATTTCCCGGAAATGGGTAGTCGGTAATTTGGATTTCTGAGGAATTCTCGGTAATTAGGAAATTTAAAGATTAGCAAGGAAAGATTAGCAATGTAGTAGCTTGTATGAATACAGCAGAAAGAAAAAACGATCGAAGAGAACCGCAAAAAGCTGATTCCCATTATTAAGACAGTTATTTTATGTGGGGCACAAAATATACCACTTCGTGGCCACAGAGATGATGGTATAATTGATCTAAACACTGAGAGCTGCTTCGGGGAAGGTAATTTTCGGGCACTACTGCAATTCAGAGTTGATGCAGGGGATAAGGTTCTAGGCTCTCATTTAAAATTTTGTGGAAAGAATGCTAGTTACATAAGCAAAACAACTCAGAATGAGATAATTGAATGTTGTGGTGATGTGATCACTGACACGATCATATCTAAAATAAAAGAATCAAAGTTTTTTACTATTATGGCAGACGAAACGACAGATTTGTCGCTTAAAGAACAGCTAACCATCTGCATTAGATATTTCGACACTAAGAAATGCAACATTGAAGAAGATTTTATTAAGTTCGTTGATGTTATTGATCTAACTGGAGAGAACCTAGCAAACACTATTGTTCAAGAACTGAAAAAACTTAATGTTGATTTAGCTAACTGCCGTGGTCAAGCTTTTGACGGGTCGTCCAACATGAGTGGGGTTTTCAAAGGCGTACAAGCCCGAATTTCCCAGATCCAGCCTCTGGCAATGTACACTCACTGTGCCAATCACAGATTGAATCTGGCAATTAGTAAAGCTTGCTCTATTGCTAGCATTAGGAATACAATGGGAGTTATATCTTCCGTAGCAGTTTTCTTCCGTGATTCTCCAGCAAGATTTAAAATTTTGGAAAACGAAGTAAGGGAGAATCACAACCTGAAACCAGGAACTCATGGTCTGAAAAAACTCTGTGAAACAAGGTGGATTGAAAGACACGATGCTGTTCTGACTTTTGTGGAACACCTTCCTACACTCCCTGCTGCTCTAGAAAGAATTGCTAATTCTCCTCAAGGCAAGGGAAGCAATGCATTTGCTTTCATGCACTCTATCCTCTCATCCGAGTTTTTGGTCAGTGTGGTAGTGTTAGCTGAGGTCCTTGGAATAACCTTACCACTAGCACGTAAACTTCAAGCTGAGTACATGGACGTACTTAAAGCAACTGAGCTTGTAGAAGTCACTACAAAAAGCCTACAGGAAAGGAGAAACAACAGCACCGACACATTCAAGGAGTTATTCACTCAATCAACTAAGCTGGCGGAACAAATGGGTACAGATATTCAGAAGCCCAGGACAACATCCCTTCAAAAAAACCGAGCAAATGTCCAGGCTGAAACGGTTGAAGAATATTATAGGATGACAATTTACATCCCATTTCTGGATTTTGTAATCAATGAACTGATGGCAAGATTTCCCAAAAATGAAATGGAATGTGTAGGTAAGCTACAACATCTTCTCTCACCAGATCTCAGTGATGGTCAAATAAGTGATATTCTTCAAGGAGCTCGTAAATATGAACATGATTTGCCGTGCTTCTCTGCTCTGAAAGGTGAGCTACAAATTTGGAAACACATGTGGTCCAATTCTGCAAAAGAAATGCCAAAACATCCTGCACAGGCATACAAGTTGGCCGAACCACTGCAAAATGTACAAGTTTTACTGCAGCTGCTGTGCACTCTTCCTGTGACGACAAGTACAGCTGAGCGAACCTTTTCTGCTTTGCGTCGTATGAAGACATACCTGCGAACGACCATGACGGAAGAGAGGCTTAATGGACTGGCATTACTCCATGTTCACCAAGGCTTATCCAGTGAATTGAAAGCCGAAGAAGTCTTGGACGTGTACGCGAGGAAGCACAAGCGAAAGCTGTCTCTCAAGGTTTTATGAGAAGATGGTCGAATAAAAAGTAATTTTCTTTATGTTTTTACCTATATTGAAATACAGTATACTTATACTTATGTGTTGTGTATTTTTATCATATAAACAACATTTTGTAGATCTTAAATTCATGGTAACGGCTAACAGGTCGAAGTGTTCTGACCAGTATTTTTGAATTAAAATGGTAATATTCTATATTGATAATTCTAAAGTTCCTAATAAAAGGCAAACAAATAATTTTGAATACAACTGCATATTTTCGTATAAATAAGTTCATTTATTAAAAAAAAACAGCATTATGTATTAAGTCATCGCAATTCACAAATCTCACTGTAATACATAATATTCCTTATTCTAAGTTTGAACCTTGTGCCCCCCCCAAGACAATTTTCTGGATCCGCCCCTGCGTTATGCTGCTATTCCTAACTAGTATTTTCTCCTGCATATCCTTCCTTTAGGTTTCTACCCTTTCCTTCACCATCAGGTGAATGGGTAACAATGTATGACCACGGTTGATATTATTCTGTACGCACATAACGCTTTCTCTAGTATCTTCCTGTATTTCTTTATGTTCAGCACTTTTTTGACAGTCCCTGGTCCTACCACATTGGGCACAATCCTTGTCAACACCACAGTCCTCGTTTCTGTACCGCGAAGACGAATTTACCGAGCTCACAATAAGTTCGTTTAGTATTTACGACTACTACCAAATACTTTACTTTTCCGCATATACTATTGCCTGTACACCAATACCCAGTTCGGTCTCAAAAATCTCCTTGTACAGAACATTCCAAAGCAAATGACCCCAAAACGCAGCCTTCGGAGAGTTACCCCTAGCAATGTTAATGTATCTATCTGTGAAGTAGTCTCTAATCACGTTCTGTGGATAGGGAGATATCATTTAAGTTTTAAATGACCTCTATATTCTTAAAATGGCTATCACTAAATTTTATAATTCCATAAAATCCACGGTTTATTACATTTTTCTTCTGTACTTCATTTTTCTGGTTTCTTCTTATATCGTGTTAGAAATCAATTACATTTACAATATAAATGTATTGTATTGAATATATTGGTTTACTACCGATTAAAGATACCTGAAATAGACGAGTGATACCACATGAAAAAGGAATATTCAGCCTTACTCCCAAAACTGTTTCATAATACATTTAATAAATAATAGTTTATTAAACAAAAATAGAATTTAATTTTTACAAGTGGCGATGCAGTGCTATACTCTACCGAGAATGATAGTGAGGATGTAATTAGTATTTTAAAGTTTTTTCTAATGAAACAAATTGTTTTAGGTGTTTATCAACATGTTGCTGGCGATTTACAAAATGGTCATGCTGTAAGAGTTTTAGGCTGGGGAGAAGAAAATGGAACTCCCTATTGGCTGGTAGCTAATTCATGGAATACACTTTGGGGTGACAAAGGGTTGTTTAAAATAATATTAGGAAAAAATGAAGGAGGCTTCGAGGACAGCATGGTTGCAGCACTTCCGAAAATATAGTTACACCAAATTGTTATGTGGTCAGTTTATCTTGTTGTTGTTTAAAATAATAATAAAATAAAACAAATCAAAACACGTCTTTTAATGATGAGTTTTAACTGGATCGTATATGACGATTGTGCATGACGAATATATATATATATATATATATATATATATATATATATATATATATATATATATATATATATATATATATAAATTTTCAATATTGGGTTTGCAGCAATAAAAATGATACGTGTACTCTTTTAAATTTTTATTCCGAGCTTTCGGACATGGTTATGTCCTTCATCAGGGAGCTACAAATATGATGAATAGTTTGTTACAAGTTTGTATAATTAATTAAAGATTCGCTACTTACAAACTTAATGAGGTTGGATCATCAATGATTTTCTACCATGTCGATAAAACTTATCACAGTCTGTCATATTATTATATAAAACTTATTCCTATATTTAAAATTTTTAAAAATTGCTATACAATCACAAACACTTACTTATTATACACACATTTCTGACATTTTTATTCTTAATTTTATTATATCGTCATTAGTTTTTTCACAAGACAATTCAGTGGTTTTTATTATTAGATACTAGTACCAAATTATAGGCCTATCATTAGATGTATTGTGGCTATATAAATTATTTTATATTTATTAATATGTTTCAACACAAAATTTATTAAATTAACCTAAAGAAATAAGGTCATAATTCTAAAAATATTACAATTGAATATTATATTTTGTTTTGTATGACCCCAGTATCTGTGTGTATACAAAAATTACTAAATTTAAAAACAATTAAAAAAAGAAGAAGAGAAAACTTTTATTTAATTTATTAAAAGTCAATTGATAAATTACTGTTTGTGTTATTGTTGCATTTATCTAGTAGTAATAAATAGGAGAACAATTCATTTAGATGACCAATATCCGTTCTATGATTCATTGCGTTGTTGTTTTGGCAAATGTATGCCATTTCAAGAAAAAGTCTTTTGGTGATGTTACTTTCCTGTTCTACTACTTTGATGTTATTGTAATCTATCCGATGCCCATTTTTAAATGTATGTTCACCCAATGCACTTCTTTCTGGATGTAATCTATTGTCAGACTTGTGCGATATAATGCGGTCTTTAAGGCATCTTGATGTTTGACCGTAGTATACTTGTTCACATGATCCGCACGGTATACAATAAACAACATCTGTTAATGACAAGAGTGGGGATTGGTCTTTAAGTTTAGAAAAAACTTTGTTAACTGTTAGTACCGTTTTATATGCAATTTTGATATTATTAAGTGATGAAAAAATTCTACTAAGTTTATGCCCAATGTCCTTAATGTATGGAAGGGATACATATTTTATTGTCGTTTGTTTTTGTAAAGGATCTACAGGTCCAATTCTATCATGTGATAAAGACATATTGTCCTCGTTTCTTAAATGACTAGTTAAAGTTTGTGGAGTGTTAAACAAAATTTTCTTCAGTAGTATACTTGGGTATGAGTTTTCAATGAATAGGTTATACAGGATTTTTAGATTTTTGGTATGGAAAGCGGTATCACTGATTTTAAGGACACGATTTTTCATTTCTTTAACTAAATTAAGTTTCATTGAATATTTATGGTTTAGTTAAAGAAATGAAAAATCGTGTCCTTAAAATCAGTGATACCGCTTTCCATACCAAAAATCTAAAAATCCTGTATAACCTATTCATTGAAAACTCATACCCAAGTATACTACTGAAGAAAATTTTGTTTAACACTCCACAAACTTTAACTAGTCATTTAAGAAACGAGGACAATATGTCTTTATCACATGATAGAATTGGACCTGTAGATCCTTTACAAAAACAAACGACAATAAAATATGTATCCCTTCCATACATTAAGGACATTGGGCATAAACTTAGTAGAATTTTTTCATCACTTAATAATATCAAAATTGCATATAAAACGGTACTAACAGTTAACAAAGTTTTTTCTAAACTTAAAGACCAATCCCCACTCTTGTCATTAACAGATGTTGTTTATTGTATACCGTGCGGATCATGTGAACAAGTATACTACGGTCAAACATCAAGATGCCTTAAAGACCGCATTATATCGCACAAGTCTGACAATAGATTACATCCAGAAAGAAGTGCATTGGGTGAACATACATTTAAAAATGGGCATCGGATAGATTACAATAACATCAAAGTAGTAGAACAGGAAAGTAACATCACCAAAAGACTTTTTCTTGAAATGGCATACATTTGCCAAAACAACAACGCAATGAATCATAGAACGGATATTGGTCATCTAAATGAATTGTTCTCCTATTTATTACTACTAGATAAATGCAACAATAACACAAACAGTAATTTATCAATTGACTTTTAATAAATTAAATAAAAGTTTTCTCTTCTTCTCTTTTTAATTGTTTTTAAATTTAGTAATTTTTGTATACACACAGATACTGGGGTCATACAAAACAAAATATCATATTCAATTGTAATATTTTTAGAATTATGACCTTATTTCTTTAGGTTAATTTAATAAATTTTGTGTTGAAACATATTAATAAATATAAAATAATTTATATAGCCACAATACATCTAATGATAGGCCTATAATTTGGTACTAGTATCTAATAATAAAAACCACTGAATTGTCTTGTGAAAAAACTAATGACGATATAATAAAATTAAGAATAAAAATGTCAGAAATGTGTGTATAATAAGTAAGTGTTTGTGATTGTATAGCAATTTTTAAAAATTTTAAATATAGGAATAAGTTTTATATAATAATATGACAGACTGTGATAAGTTTTATCGACATGGTAGAAAATCATTGATGATCCAACCTCATTAAGTTTGTAAGTAGCGAATCTTTAATTAATTATACAAACTTGTAACAAACTATTCATCATATTTGTAGCTCCCTGATGAAGGACATAACCATGTCCGAAAGCTCGGAATAAAAATTTAAAAGAGTACACGTATCATTTTTATTGCTGCAAACCCAATATTGAAAATTTACTTCCTTGTTGTCAGCAAATACTTCTAGTTCATTATATATATATATATATATATATATATATATATATATATATATATATATATATATATATATTATATATATATATATATATATATATAAAACAAACAACAAGGTTTATTGGGGCTGCAGTCAGAAGTTTGGCCGGGATGTTACAGAAACACTCTTTTGACTTTTGGTCTAGCTTTCGGAATTGTTTAATTCCTTTATCAAGACACTGTAATTAGAAAAATGTGTAAATATTTACAATATATCACAAAATATCAGTGTACTTACTAGTCGTTGAGATTATTTGTACGAAGCTCTGACACTCAACATTAATAACAAACATATACACTAAAACTTATACAATAATTAATACAACAATACATTTTAAAATTTAGTTAAAAATAATAAAAGTTCTAAAAAGTTTGTTTTCTACATCTTCTTGGTGTTGTGTTTTAACTAACCCATAGAGAATAAAAAAAAAACAAAAATAAAAATAGTATGATTAAAAATTCATTAGGAGTTCTTCATATGTTATTAATAGAAGGTAATGTATTAAACCTGTGTTGATGGTATGCAACCTGTTTAGCATGCAGGTGTATTATGGTGTGTATATGTACTAGTAAGTCTTTGTGTCATTTTTGATGTTTAGTCAGTAAATAACAATAAATGTTACTCAATTTATCTATATCGGACTTCTTATTTATACAAGACGCACTGGACTTTATTAAACACATTTCCAGGAAAACACGTTTAGAATGGTTATTTTCCCTTGCCAGAATTTTGGTTTTGGCCCTCAAAACTAGGGTTATCAACTTATCACACATTGAGTTCAGAGACAAGGGACTGAAAAAGTTGAGATCTATACTACAAGAGAACTCCTATCCCATAGGGCTTTTAAATAAACTCATTTTTGGTACTACTTTTCCGTTGCAACAAAAAAATATTAACTCACCAAAAAAATTAGTTTGGTTAATAAACTTATGCCGCTAAACATATTTCAAAAATACTACTTTTAAAAATCAGCTTATCTAATAAATGTTTCTATTAGATTTTGTAACATAATTTTGAAAAACTTTTTTAAAACAAAAAACAATTGAACTTATATAAGTTCATGAATGTTAACTTACAATTTTCATTTTTGACAATGATATTGCCAAAAAATAAATTTTTGTTAAATATTCTTTTTTATTTAATAATAAAAAAGAAGATTTATTTATTATTAATTGATGCCTGAAAAAATGTAACAAGTATATGGAAAATTAAATTACAATGTGATATTTTACTATAGAGAAATAATTTAATTATAAATTTTGCTTAGATTTTGAATTTCTTATCTTTTGTTTAAATTATTATCACTCCTGATAACACAAACCATTTCTGAAAAAGTCCTTTTGAATTTATTACCTTCATTACACAAAATTTTAATGTTATCAAAATCCATAATATGATCTTTGTCGATTACATGCTCTGCCAAAGCACAAGATGGTTTTTTTCATTCTACAATCATTTTTGTGGGAAATAATACGATTTGACAGATTTCTTCCGGTCTCACCAACATACACAGCTTCAAACTGAGTACAACCAATGCTGTATGCTACTACAATGATATTTAGTTTTAGAATATAAGGATGACATACTTTTGATGTTCTTTGTTGCTATTTTTATATTGTCAATAACCTTTAGTATTTGTATTAATTTAGGTGTTAATGATGGTATAAAAGGTAGTGAATGATAATAGATGTTCTGATTGTTGGATATAATGTTCTGAGATTTAGCAAAAAATGGTGTGTTGTTATTTATATTAACAATATTATAAAAAAGCATCCAATGTAGTATATCTGGAGGATAATAGTTCTCAATTAAAATATCTTTTAACAATTAAAGATCTTCTTGTAGATAATCTGGATGAGAAACCCTTAAAACACGTTCTTTTAATCCTGTTATAAGGTTCATTTTATTATTATCTTTATTTTATGCATGCTAGGTATAA